CCAGATTTAAAGTGAGAGGATGGAAAAGAATTTACCATGCTAATGGACATCAGAAGAAAGCAGGAGTGGCAATCCTTATATCAGATCAATTAGATTTTAAGCCAAAGACTATAATAAGAGATGAGGAAGGACACTATATCATACTCAAAGGAACTGTCCAACAAGAAGATCTAACAATTTTAAATATCTATGCCCCTAACGTGGGAGCAGCCAACTATATAAACCAATTAATAACAAAATCAAAGAAACACATCGATAATAATACAATAATAGTAGGGGACTTTAACACTCCCCTCACTGAAATGGACAGATCATCCAAACAAAAGATCAACAAGGAAATAAAGGCCTTAAATGACACACTGGACCAGATGGACATCACAGATATATTCAGAACATTTCATCCCAAAGCAACAGAATACACATTCTTCTCTAGTGCACATGGAACATTCTCCAGAATAGATCACATTCTTGGTCCTAAATCAGGTCTCAACCATTATCAAAAGATTGGAATCATTCCCTGCATATTTTCAGACCACAATGCTCTGAAGCTAGAACTCAATCACAAGAGGAAATTTGGAAAGAACCCAAATACATGGAGACTAAACAGCATCCTTCTAAAGAATGAATGGGTCAACCAGGAAATTAAAGAAGAATTGAAAAAATTCATGGAAACAAATGATAATGAAAACACAATGGTTCAAAATCTGTGGGACACAGCAAAGGCAGTACTGAGAGGAAAATATATAGGGGTACAAGCCTTTCTCAAGAAACAAGAAAGGTCTCAAATACACAACCTAACCCTACACCTAAAGGAGCTGGAGAAAGAACAAGAAAGAAACCCTAAACCCAGCAGGAGAAGAGAAATCATAAAGATCAGAGCAGAAATCAATGAAATAAAAACCAAAAAAACAATAGAACAAATCAACGAAACTAGGAGCTGGTTCTTTGAAAGAATTAACAAGATCGATAAACCCCTGGCCAGACTTATCAAAAAGAAAAGAGAAAGGACCCAAATAAATAAAATCATGAATGAAAGAGGAGAGATCACAACGAACACCAAAGAAATACAGACAATTATAAGAACATACTATGAGCAACTCTACGCCAACAAATTTGACAATCTGGAAGAAATGGATGCATTCCTAGAGACATATAAACTACCACAACTGAACCAGGAAGAAATAGAAAGCCTGAACAGACCCATAACCAGTAAGGAGATTGAAACAGTCATCAAAAATCTCCAAACAAACAAAAGCCCAGGGCCAGATGGCTTCCCGGGGGAATTCTACCAAACATTTAAAGAAGAACTAATTCCTATTCTCCTGAAACTGTTCCAAAAAATAGCAATGGAAGGAAAACTTCCAAACTCATTTTATGAGGCCAGCATCACCTTGATCCCAAAACCAGACAAGGATCCCATCAAAAAAGAGAACTACAGACCAATATCCTTGATGAACACAGATGCAAAAATTCTCGCCAAAATACTAGCCAATAGGATTCAACAGTACATTAAAAGGATTATTCACCACGACCAAGTGGGATTTATTCCAGGGCTGCAAGGTTGGTTCAACATCCGCAAATCAATCAATGTGATACAACACATTAATAAAAGAAAGAACAAGAACCATATGATACTCTCCATAGATGCTGAAAAAGCATTTGACAAAGTACAGCATCCCTTCCTGATCAAAACTCTTCAAAGTGTAGGGATAGAGGGCACATACCTCAATATTATCAAAGCCATCTATGAAAAACCCACCGCAAATATCATTCTCAATGGAGAAAAACTGAAAGCTTTTCCGCTAAGGTCAGGAACACGGCAGGGATGTCCGTTATCACCACTGCTATTCAACATAGTACTAGAAGTCCTAGCCTCAGCAATCAGACAACAAAAGGAAATTAAAGGCATCCAAATTGGCAAAGAAGAAGTCAAACTATCACTCTTTGCAGATGATATGATACTATATGTGGAAAACCCAAAAGACTCCACTCCAAAACTGCTAGAACTTGTACAGGAATTCAGTAAAGTGTCAGGATATAAAATCAATGCACAGAAATCAGTTGCATTTCTCTACACCAACAACAAGACAGAAGAAAGAGAAATTAAGGAGTCAATCCCATTTACAATTGCACCCAAAACTATAAGATACCTAGGAATAAACCTAACCAAAGAGACTAAGAATCTATACACAGAAAACTATAAAGTACTCATGAAAGAAATTGAGGAAGACACAAAGAAATGGAAAAATGTTCCATGCTCCTGGATTGGAAGAATAAATATTGTGAAAATGTCTATGCTACCTAAAGCAGTCTACACATTTAATGCAATTCCTATCAAAGTACCACCCATTTTTTTCAAAGAAATGGAACAAATAATCCTAAAATTTATATGGAACCAGAAAAGACCTCGAGTAGCCAAAGCAATATTGAAAAAGAAAGCCAAAGTTGGTGGCATCACAATTCCAGACTTCAAGCTCTATTACAAAGCTGTCATCATCAAGACAGCATGGTACTGGCACAAAAACAGACACACAGATCAATGGAACAGAATAGAGAGCCCAGAAATAGACCCTCAACTCTATGGTCAACTAATCTTCGACAAAGCAGGAAAGAATATCCAATGGAAAAAAGACAGCCTCTTCAACAAATGGTGTTGGGAAAATTGGACAGCCACATGCAGAAAAATGAAATTGGATCATTTCCTTACACCACACACGAAAATAGACTCAAAATGGATGAAGGATCTCAATGTGAGAAAGGAATCCATCAAAATCCTTGAGGAGAACACAGGCAGCAACCTCTTCGACCTCAGCCGCAGCAACATCTTCCTAGGAACATCGCCAAAGGCAAGGGAAGCAAGGGCAAAAATGAACTCTTGGGATTTTATCAAGATCAAAAGCTTTTGCACAGCAAAGGAAACAGTTAACAAAACCAAAAGACAACTGACAGAATGGGAGAAGATATTTGCAAATGACATATCAGATAAAGGGCTAGTGTCCAAAATCTATAAAGAACTTAGCAAACTCAACACCCAAAGAACAAATAATCCAATCAAGAAATGGGCAGAGGACATGAACAGACATTTCTGCAAAGAAGACATCCAGATGGCCAACAGACACATGAAAAAGTGCTCCATATCACTCGGCATCAGGGAAATACAAATCAAAACCACAATGAGATATCACCTCACACCAGTCAGAATGGCTAAAATTAACAAGTCAGGAAATGACAGATGCTGGCAAGGATGCGGAGAAAGGGGAACCCTCCTACACTGTTGGTGGGAATGCAAGCTGGTGCAACCACTCTGGAAAACAGCATGGAGGTTCCTCAAAATGCTGAAAATAGAACTACCCTATGACCCAGCAATTGCACTGCTGGGTATTTACCCTAAAGATACAAACGTAGTGATCCGAAGGGGCACGTGCACCCGAATGTTTATAGCAGCAATGTCTACAATAGCCAAACTATGGAAAGAACGTAGATGTCCATCAACAGACGAATGGATAAAGAAGATGTGGTATATATACACAATGGAATACTATGCAGCCATCAAAAGAAATGAAATCTTGCCATTTGCGACGACGTGGATGGAACTAGAGGGTATCATGCTTAGCGAAATAAGTCAATTGGAGAAAGACAACTATCATATGATCTCCCTGATATGAGGGAGAGGAGATGCAACATGGGGGGTTAAGGGGGTAGGAGAAGAGTAAATGAAACAAGATGGGATTGGGAGGGAGACAAACCATAAGTGACTCTTAATCTCACAAAACAAACTGAGGGTTAATGGGGGGAGGGGAGTTGGGGGGGGTGGGATTATGGACTTTGGGGAGGGTATGTGCTATGGTGAGTGCTGTGAAGTGTGTAAACCTGGCGATTCACAGACCTGTACCCCTGGGGATAAAAATATATTATATGTTTATAAAAAATAAAATTTAATTAAAAAAAAACTAGTAGAACTGATAAACCAATTTGGTAGAGTCACAGGATACAAAATCAACACACAGAAACCCGTTGCATTTCTGTACACCAATAGTGAAGCAGCACAAAGAGAAATTAAGAAAACAGTCTCATTTACAATTGCACCAAAAGCAATAAAATACCTAAGAATAAACCCAACCAAAGAGATGAAAGACCTATACTCTGAAAACTATAAAACAGTGGTAAAAGAAATTGGAGAGGACACAGAGAAATGGAAAGACATTCCATGTTCATGGATAGGAAGAAGAGATTATCATTAAAATGTCTATACTACCCAAAGCAATCTACACATTGGGGAATATTCCCTAACTGCATGATAAATGTATCTCTTTTTAACAGCTGCGTACAAAAGTCACCTGCTCAAATGTGTCACAATTTGCTAGACCCATTCCCTTTGAAGGATAATTGGGTTGTTTCTAGGGTTTTGCTTATTTGTTTGTTGTGGGGTTTGATGTTACTATCGCCATTAATGTTACAAGACCATCTCTGTACTTATCTTAACAGGTCTTGCCCTCGTACCCACAGAGAAATTCTTAAGCACTGGGGACTGGGTTAAAGGGCACATGATTTACATGTTGATAGAAACCACCAGTGGTCATCCAGAAAGGCTGCATCCGGTAGTGTTCAAACACAAGTGTTTGACAGTGCTTGTCTCCCCAAATTCCCCAAGCTCTGCTCATCACATTTTTTAAATTGTTGCGAATCATATAAATTGAAATAGATCTCGTGAAAATGATGCAGTTGGTATCCTTGGTGTGACCTATCCGCTTAGCATGAGGGAGAATCCTCTGCTAATTCCAACCCCTCATGCCCATCCCCCCACCCCCACCGAGAGAGAGAGACAGACAGACAGACACAAGGAGCTTGGCGTTCCCCCAGTGGTCAACAATGCGGAAGACAAGAAAGACAAGAATATTAGTAACTGAAGCTGTGGTTCTTGACCAATTCGGCCCCGGTGTCATGCGTGTGGCTTTTGAGGCAGAGCCTCCTTGGACCCCATGCCTCCTGGGTGGTGTTACCTGGATGCCCAAGAGAATGCAGAGGTACCATGGGGGGACATCCAGGACGCTATAGGTTGGCTGGCTGCTGCTGGATCTCCCGGCCTGCCCAGCCTTCTTCCCGCCTTGGCCATCATGGTGACAGTGGAGCCCGTCGTCCACCCTCTGCTGGGAACAAGAGAGGGACACACCTGGGCATTTTAGGAGGAAGCAAGTGGACTTCCTGGTCTCACCTCAGGGCTGGACGGCCTGCCAGGGGCAAGAGGCCATGGCACAGGGATCACGGCTGGCCAGTTTGGGATGTCGAGGTCCAGACTCAAAAGACCAGTATTTTGGGGCACCTGGGTGGCCTCTGTCTTCAGCTCAGGTCATGATCCCAGAGTCCTGGGATCGAGCCCCACATCGGGCTCTCTGCTTGGCGGGGAGCCTGCATTCCCCCCCCTCTCTGCCTGCCTCTCTGCCTACTTGTGATCTCTCTCTCTGTCAAATAAATAAATAAAATCTTAAAAAAAAAAAAAGACCAGTATTTTCCACATTGTACATCAGCAGGGCCCGCATATATGGTCTGGGGTCCCAAGAGGGGACAGGCCACTTTGCCTGAGGCCCGTCTGCACAGCAGCTGCTTTGTGGAAAAGGAGTGGGGGCCAACTCCAAGGTCAGAAAAAGGGGCAGATCTCCCTTCCAGACAGGTAGCTGGGGATCCTGGCCCCAGAATGCTGGAACTGCCCTTAGAGGCGCTCCCATGGGCCTATGTCTACACCTGCCAAAGCTCTCCTCAGGGCGCAGTTACCCCAACAGATGGCTACCACACCCATCTTTGCTGCGGGGCTGGAAGATCCTAGAATGCGCTGACTAGGCCTTACTCCTCCATGTGGCCCCGGCTTCAACAGCAGCCAACACCCGTGCTCAGTGTGGACCGAACGAGTGGAAGCAGCGTGCCAGTGTAAGTGGGACGGCCTGGGGCAGACAGGCGAGGCAGGGAGAGACTCAGGTGCAGGGACAGCAATGGGGTTCCCGGGAGGAAGAGGGGTCCCTTGCTCCACTGACTCCCCTCACACCTCCCCCGCCCCCAGCTTCTGGTCGCAGGCCTGGCCCTCTAGGTTGGTTGGCTAACACTCCCATGCACCCGGCGCTAGCCAATGGGGTTGTCCAGATTTCTCCAAATGTGGCCTCTGTTATCCTGCATCAGCATCTTAGCTCCCCCTGAGGCCCCCCTGGAGTCCCCTGCTTCTCCTTCCCACTTGCGAGAGCTCAATGCCTCCTCCCCATCACTTCTCCTGACCTCCCCACACCCACAGGAGTTTTCTCCCCACGGCTCTCTGTTGCATAATTCACCATCCTCTCTCGGACCAGAAGCATTTCTGCGTGTCCTGCATTCCCCTAGCTAGGCCATAAGCTTTCGGGGTCAGGAAGCTGTCTGCCCCTCCTTAATGTCCCTCAAAGTTTCTAGCAGGGCAACATGCATGCGAAACCAGACACATCCCTGAAGAGTGTGGCTGCAGACGAAGAGAAGACGGACCGCTGGAAAGAGGGTAGGTGCAGGCCCAGACCCGCCCCGCTCCCGGTGGCCGCAGGTGAACTGCCGTGTGGAAGTCTCTGATTTCCCAAGATGGTTGTTTGCTTCGATTTCTTTCTGTTTCCATGACAGTAGGGGCAGAAAGAATTCTGAAGAGATAAGCGGAGAGATGTCTGAAGGGCCTCCCAAGAGGTCCTGGAAAAGACAGCCGAGGGGCCTCTTCCCTGGGGGTGGCCTCCGAGGACAGCTGCGGGGATCCGGCCCAGGTTTGCGGGTGACACCCAGCCCCCAGGCACCCGGGGCTGCCGTCGGGCCCTGGCGCAGAGGAGCTCTTGCCACCTGTTGTGGAGCAGTGGCTCGAACAAGAGTGTCTTCACTCTTTCACTCCGTTCACCCCGCTACTTGCAGGTGCTCGAAAACGGGTTGGGAAGGTGGTGGGGCCAGGGCTCAAGGACTCGCCGGAGAAGCCTCCAGAGGTGTCACTGGCACTTCTCTGGGCCTCAGGTTCCTCATCCAGGAACAGAAGCACCTGCTTCGCTGGCTTGGAAGGAAGAAAATAAAACAGAGAGAGTGCCCGGGGGGTACTGGTGCTTTGGTAAATATTGGTTCTCTGTCTCACTCTCTGACGCCCTCTCTCTTTCCCTTTGCTTTGTTTTAGAAAGTCCTTCGGATCAAAGAAATCATAACACGGAGGAGCCCGGAAAGCAAATATTTAGACATTTAGATTCAGCAGACACCAACTGTGAGTAAAGGCAAAACTCAAAGAATCTTCCAGCACTTCCTCCGTGCTTGAGAATGCTCTCGCCGGGTTTAGGGCTCAGGGAGGAGTCTTGGCCTCATGATGGGGGGATCTGGAGAGCAGCTGCACACCAGTCTAATAATCTAAAATCTTGCCTTGAACGTAAGCCACACGTCCTGAGCATGAATAGTGAATTAGGGCGCCGGGACCCCCAGCCGGGACCTACTTCCATGCCCTTCTTCCATTCTACCTGCCCCTCTCTTCTCTTTCCCTCTCTTTCAGCAGCACTCACCAAAGGGTCAGGGTGCTCCCAGCCGGTGATAGCAGAGCTCATGGCGACCTGGGGTCAGCTCCTGTTGGCCTCCTCTCAGGACAGAAACGAAGGGAACCTGCTTCAGCAGAAAGAGATTAACGTCTTCACTGTCTGCCAAAAGGGAGAGAGAAGAGAGAGATCCTGGGCTGGGCTGGCTCTGGGGAGGGTGGGGCTTCCAGACTTCCCTTCTCGCCCCTCCAATCACCACAGCAGACCAAGGTACACTCAGGTGCAGCACATGTTTCATAATTTAATAAGTTTGAGAAAGTGTAGAGAAGTTAATGATCCTCTGTGACACTATGGAAATAAATCAGGTGCAGCCTTTTGGGAGTGGCACGAGAGTACTTTCTGGAAGCCAGATTCCAGCGGGCAGAGAAAAGAGGGGGGGTGAGGGTGAGGCCCTGGGTGGCACGCACAGGCTTTGCAATCTTTAAAAGCTGATTCTTTACGATGAGTTGAGCTGGAAAGGAAAGCAACGAAGAGAGAGTCCGACCAGCCTGGGCTCTGAGATGCCGTCATGGAGTCATCATGAGACAAAGGATATTGCTGTTGATCTGGGAGAAACTGTCAAGGTGCATTGGTGGAGCGAAGCCCTCAGGGGAGAACCTGAGAAAAAAATGCTGCTAATCCTTAGGTGTCTGTCTCCCTAACATGCAGAAACGTCTAACCCACCTTTCAGAGAGAGAAGTCCAGGAAAGAGTACGCCTGCCCTTACTCTGCACAGGATCCTCCTCAAAAACTCTGAATAACCACCACCCCCTGCCCACTCTGTAAAGCCCAAAGCCACCCAAGTGCCAGCTACTCCTGGTGGTGGAATGTTCTGGAATGGGTGGCACTCGGTTCTAAGGTTCAGGAAACACACGGTGGGATGCACACACGCATTGGTGGGAATTGGTCCAAGAGGAGCCCTGAAAAATACAAAAATGAGATGTTTGACAAGGAACAAGAGAGACCTGATTCGGGCTATGACAGGAAAGCCGGAGGTAAGGAGCTGACCTTACCGAATACTCAGCTATGTCCACTGTGTTACACCTTTTTTTTGTATTGCCTTACATAACACTCACCCCAAATTAGCATTCACATTCTTCTTTCACGGATTAAGAAATCGAGATGTTGATGGTCCTGTTAAGCTCCTCATTCAAGGTTCATAACCGATGTAGGAGCTGAGATTCAAGCCCAGATAGTCTTGTTCCACAGCCTGCAGAGGCCAAGAAGATCCTTACGGAAACATGGCCTCTGGGTCTGAAGAAGTAAAGGATGAGGCTCCAGGGGAGATGGAGGGACCCCGAGTTCACCTCAGTGGTGAAAGTGAGACTGCTCAGCTTTGGGACGGCACGGGTTCCCAACTCTGTTTAACACACTAAACGCCCAGTTCCCAACTGGGCAAGTTATGAGGTGAAGACAGACATCACGTGCCACCGTTCACGTGGATCTCTGCAGTGAGCAGCCTGGGCTTTGTTGCTCCAGGAAGGCCTGGTGGGTGTGGGGCAGAGTTGGGGGGGGGTGCCTTTGCTGCCCCACCACAACCCCTACCCTCACAGATCTGGGCACAGAGGCAAAATTGGGCTCATGTCAGACATCTCTTTTTCCCTGTCACGTTCTGAGATAACATGGAAGAAGTTGACTTCTTAAAGACTCGATCCTCCCCCACATTGAAGGTCTTGCCTTTCTTGGCTATGCCTCTCCCTGCTGCTTGTTTAGGCATACAGTTAAACTCCCCCATGGTATGAGGTAAAATGGTTAGCTCATCGGCTGAGGTAAAACAGAAAGACGGTTTCCTGTTATCCACTTTGTTTGGCTACCCATACAATATGTTCCAGAATATTCCTCACTCCTTAAGTCTTCTCCTCTGGGCCTGACACACTCTGTCTCATATGGTTCCTTGATAAGTCCTTTAGCTTCTGACCACTGCTGCTGCCCATGTAGCCCCCACCCTCCTCAGTAGCTCAAATGAGGAGCCAAGCCATCATTCCCCTTTTCTTATACCTTCCACCCCTTAGAAGTCACTCCCACAGACCATGGTCCCTACACTCATCATTGGCCTGGCCTGGCTTCTGCTGCCATCTCTTACCCGAAAGTGACTGGTATTACACAACTCTTCCACAGTCTTAGCTGCCACAGCTGGTGGCCTTTCTCTCCCTCACCTGCTGGAACCATCCTGCCATCCCATACACACACCAGCTTGAGGTTCTCCATACACAGCACATTTACACATGATTATTTATAACCATTGTGTTTCAAGTTAGGGAAATCAAGTTCTAATAATTAGCTCAGACAATGAGAGGAATTTAAGAATATAGGGCTTCTCTGGGAACCCATGATCTTTCCCCAGACACATGAAGGATTAAAAACTCTTCCATTACATTTTCACATCTAAACATCTAATAATTCCAAATTTGAAGCAGCTCCTCTGGCCCCAGGTACTTTGGAAGGAGAAAAGCACTGGGCCTCTCCATATATAATGCGCGGTGGTCCCATCTGGATGCACCATTTTGTATGTGGAGTAGGCTATACAGGAAGGCTTGACCTGGACACTTGCACCACTACAGATAAATTAGAAGTTGGCTATGGTAGGAAGGAATATGCTAAGAGACAGCTGTGAGGCAAATCACACCTGACACTAAGAATGAAGGAGGCCAATGGAGTTTCTCAAGAGAAGATTAAAAAAAAACCAAAAAACTGAAGGTGTAGCTCTTGGTTTTGCCATTCAGATCCCATCTAGCCTTCCCTCATTTTCCTCAGTGAACCGTTGTGATCCACAGCAAGCAGACCACATGCTTCAAGCGGAGTTTACTCTGCCCTGTGGCTACCTGGATGAGGGTGAGGGCCATTTGGGAGCCCTGCAAATCCCTGGCCACAGTCTTGGGCTAGCCAGGGGTGTGGTACCCAGCTAGAGTCAATGAGAGGTGTGAGACTTACTGGGACTTTGGGAAGAGAGGTGTTCTCTTTTTCACTGGACTGGAACCTAAAGGATGTTTCCCTGTAGGTGTTGGCAGCCATCTCATGACTTTATAGAGCCTACAAAGGAAGCCGACATGGAGAACAGAGCTAAGATGGAGAGAGACTGGGTCCCCGTGATATTGAATCTATTTATTAAGCCACACACCTCTGCTAGTAACTTCTCTTTTGGTTTAAACCAATCTGATTTGGGTTTTCTGTCATTTGCAAACAAGAAAACAATCACAAACTTAACACTTTTATCTCCAGTCACAGACCAGTTCTTTTTCTAGAATTACTTGCACAATATTTGTTAATTTTTAAATCTTCAAATAACGATTGTTTAATTTCAAGAGCATTAAAAATAACTTAAACATCTATCCTGATGCTAACAACCTCAACATATTTTTACACAACAGAATCGATTGCCTAAAATGTGGCAAAAATAATCCAAGAGAGCATTGGTAAAGCAATTTCAAGGCTACTTGTCTATGAGATGCTTTACTCATGTGAATACCTAATTTCATATACTCTTGATCTGAAAGGCCAAGAAGCCAAACTTCACCATGGACGATGGGTTTTCTACAGCTTTACTGAGACCTGACCTTTTTTTTTTTTTTTTTTTAATCTGGAAATTGGAGTTGTAGACTTTTAGGCTTGGATTTGCAAAATATTTACTTCAAATTTTGATATGTTCAGCTTGGGAAAGCCACCTCAAGTGGATTATGGCCTTTGATTTATGACTTCATGGTCTAAATAATTCCCACGCTCATGCTTAATTGATTCTCAGTTTACAAAACAGGGGTTGGCAAACTGTGACTCAGGCCAAGTCTGGCCCATTGCCTGTTTATGTAAATAGAGTTTTATTGGAACGTATCACTACCCATTCGCTCAGATGCTCTCAAAAGCTGCTTTTGTGTCACAACGGCAGAGTTGAATGGTTGTGACAGCCTACAAAGCCTAAAACAATTTGCTACCTGGCCCTTCACAGAAAAAGTCTGTGGGCTCCTGCTGTAGAACACCGGTCCAAAAAGTGGATTTTTAATCATTCAACTTCGAAAGTCTTTAGCATATAAATTTTTTTTATTTTTAATTTTACAATGTAAATTTTTTAATTATACAATGTAAATATGATTTAAATAAATCATTTAAACAGAGTATACTTAACTACTTTTTTAAAAACCCTGTTTACAGGGCTCCTGGGTGGCTCAGTTGTTAAGCTGCTGCCTTCAGCTCAGGCCATGATCCCAGGGTCCTGGGATCGAGCCCCACATCAGGAGCAGCTTCTCCCTCTCCCGCTCCCATGGCTTGTGTTCCCTCTCTCTCACTCTGTGTCTCTCTTTGTCAAATAAATAAATAAAATCTTTCAAAAAAAAACCCCACATTATTTCTTCTTCTTCAGTGGAATCCTGCCTTTCTCTTCCAGAGTTCCACATACTACCAACTTTTCTTTGAGTTCGCTCCTGTAGACCACAGCAGGATTTCAGGGCCAGTTACCAGAAGTCATAATAAAACCCTTTTCTCTACATGCTCCTGCTTATCTTTGTCTTTCAGTGTCCAAACCCTTCTTGGACAGAGGGGAGCCGGGAGCCGGGAGCCGGGACTGGACACCTCGATGGGACGGAACTGACCTGGAGGCTGCCAACCATGGAACTGAGATCGGAACCAGCTTATGAAGAGTAGGGTTGAAAAGCACTACTCTAATGGGGTCAGGCGGTCAGCCAGCCAGCTCTGGTGTCTCTGTAATTCCCGTTCTTCCAATTGCGCACTGTGTTTCCCCGGGCTGGGCCAAGGGGGGAGGCTAGGAGAGGAGGGTGGGCTTCAGTAGTCTGGACAAGAGGGACCAGTGAAGGACTGATGGATTTTCATGCAGAGACACGTCTGCCATGAGAGGTCCTACACGTACAGACAACCCTCACCTTGAAGCTGTCTGTTGGAGTGCCCCAACTGACCTCTCACCTGATTCTGAGCACCAGTTGTCAGCCTTCTGTGCCACCTTGGGACCCATGTACCCAAGGGACAATATTCCAGAGTCCTTCTCGGAGACCCATGACTCACCCTCTTGCTTCATGGCCATTCGAGGA